CGCTTACAATTAATTGGCGCTATTTTCGGTGAAGGCATGTTTCAGTGAAAATAAAATCCAACAAATGTACCTTTTCTTCTATATTTTACATTCAACTCGTCAAAAATCAATGAGAATAAATTTCATACAAAACACCCAAAAAGTCTTTTCAAAATTAATTGAAGCAAAAATAATGCATTTTACAGTACTCATCTGAAAAAAAATCATGGTTTTTAGGGGGTGAGTGCTTAGTCAAGCACCTTACTTGAAAAATTGGTCAAAAGAAAATGTTCATTCACCATGTGCTAGATTAGGGGGAATAGTACCCGGTACTGTAAAATCTTGAACATTTTAATTTTTCCTGATGCCTATTTAAATTAGAGTCTAAAACATGGGAGGTATCAAATCACATTGAGTATTTGCATATGACCAAAAACATTTGCTTACAAGGAAATTAAGTTGAATTTTACTTTCATTTCATAACAATCCAACAAATTTACTGAGCAATAAATAATCAACAATTGCAACACTACAATTGTAATATATTTTTTGTCATGTGAAAAAGCCAACATTTTTGTTTGTCTATACTTTTCAACATTTCATGATGTCTATTTCGCCTATGTCTTTTTCGGGGTAATAAAATTGCGAATTGATTTGCGTCATCATTGCTTTCCACAACACCGTTACAATGAGGAAACCGAAATGATCATAAAAAATGAGCACATTTTTATTAGTCCCCGTTCGGACGAAGTCCGAAAACGGGGACTTATAATTCGGTCTCCGTGCGTCCGTCCGGAGTCATATCTCAGAATCCCTTGGACCGATTGTGTTCATTTTTTGCATGTGCCTAGTACTTTATGTGGGACATATGCACATGCAGTGGTTTAGCGATTTGATTCAAAATGGCCGACTGGCAGCCATCTTGTTTTTTGAAAATGTTGTATTTTGGACATGCTTTGTCAGTTTTCATTCAAACTTGGTACATAGATTATACATGTTAGGATACATGTCCATGACGATTTATTTCACAATTGGATCAAAGATGGCCGATTGGCAGCCATCTTGTTTTTTTTGAAAATGTCGTATTTTGGACATGCTTTGTCAGTTTTCATTCAAATTTAGTACATAGATCATACATGTTAGGATACATGTCCCAACCGTCCATGAGTTCCTGAGTCTGTCTGTTCGTCCGTCTGTCCGTGCGTCAGTCTGTCCAACATCATATTTCAGAATCCTGTGGACCGTTTCCGTTCATTCTTTGCATGTGCCTAGTACCTTATGTGGGACATATGCACATGCAGTGGTTTAGCGATTCGATTCAAAATGGCTGACTGGCAGCCATCTTGTTTTTTGAAAATGTTGTATTTTGAACATGCTTTGTCAGTTGTCATTCAAACTTGGTACATAGATTATACATGTCCGGATA